TCCAACCATCACTTGAACAGGCAGAGTCCATGAAAGAAAAGGAAACCAAGGAGGCAGGAGAATGGATAATGGTGAGAAACAACCAGAAGCCAGATGGAAAGAGGCAGCTGCATGATGGCTACACCAGCAGCTCCTCGGATGATGAAGATGTATGGCGGGATGGCCATCAACAGAAAAAAAGGTGACAACACCATGGGGGAAAAGGAGAGGAGCACCGCTCCCCTGCCAACCCAGAAATGCCTAACCCACTGTGGGGCCCAGCAAAGCCCAACTTCTAGCTGGTGAGAACCAGGGGTTACCCACTGCTCCACAGCTCCAGGCAACTGTGAGCCGCAACGCTCTGACTCAGAACTGGACCCTGCTGACTGTGTTCCTGCCCCAATGTCACCGGAGCAGGGTAATCCCTCCGGGGAGGATCAGGACAGCTACCTCAGTGCGGAGAGTGTTCAACAGTTTGCCCACACCGTGGGGATGCAAGGAGTCCCCCAGGGTCAAGACCTGTGGGTACATGGACATTGGGTAATTGTATAAACTTTTAAAATGGGTGTTAAAGTTACCAGTATGAACATATGTAGCTCTAAATCTACATGATGCATTTCCACATTGGCATACCTGGCCAACATCAAAGCAGACTTCCTATTTCTGCAGGAGTGTGGGATATCACACCTCAGCAGCTACAGGAAATGGTCGAGATTATGGGTCCATGGGCCTTTGATTTGGTTGGGGATGGGGTGGGGAAAATGATCGTCGTTCCTCTGGTCTGAGTATTCTGCTGCTGGGAGGCAACTTCACCATCACCGAGGTTAGGGAGGTGGTGGGTGGGCACCTCCTTGTGGCAGGCATTACATACAGGAATACACCCCAGTGTCTCACTGCTACTGGCAACGTCAGGTCAGTCATTCTGGCTGGAGGATACAGAGGGGCTGACAGCAAACTAGCCTCAATGTCCAGATTCCTGCTAAAAGTAAATGGGGGTCTGTTCAGTTTTTGGATCCTCCTGTAGTGGGTCAAATGTATATGAATATTTAGTATTGTATTTGTAAGAGAGGTGTTTGGTTTGTGTATAGTCAATCTCCAACATTTGTGTGTTTTACTTGAGACATAACTGTGCAGAACAGAACCACTTCACACTGTTATCTCTCTATATATACACAGAATTTTATGAAAAATATTCTTGAAATAAAAAAAGGGTTGAGCCAGGACAAGGCCATCCCATTGCACCTCCCATTGCTTACGCCTGCAATGTCCCCAAACACTCAACTGCAAAAATTGTGATAGTCAGGGACTCTCTCCCCTGGTTTACGACTTAAAAGCAGATTGTTCTCACATTGTCCAACAGATGGCGTCTTTCACTCACTGAAATTACGATTGACCCTACCCTACATACTACCTACTCTGATCTGTAATTCCCCCTATACAGATGATTCTGTGCCAGTTATTGCTTTCCTACAAATTCCACTTTCACATTTTTTCTTGCTCCCTTAATTTGCCCACTCAAATGCTTTCTCCTAGCCTATTTTGTAAAAAACATCAGGTGCCTATTAGGTCTGAAATGCAGAGTTTTCTTTCAAAATGAAAGCAAAACACTGATGTGCTGCAAACAGCAGACACATTACAGTTTTCACTATTTTGTAACAAGGTACATGTGAAAATAAATCAAACTCAGCAGATCTGTCAGCATCTATGAAGTAAGTATAATGCTTCAACCTCCGTGCAACTTCTTCAAAAGTAAAGTATGTTGGAAAATGGCTCCTTTTTATTTATCAGGCAAGGGCAGAGGAGGGGCTATGCTTGATATAGAGAGCTATGGCAAAAGAAAAAGCATTTGTAAATAGTGGTGAAAGATAAAAATATGCAAAATAGTTTTAAGTTCAGGTATGAAAGGGAAAAAAAATGGATCTGAGGGCAAAGCAAGACCCAAGGCTGTGTATGGGGGAAGGGATGGTGGTTGGGGCTGGAGAGGTGAGAGGTTATGTAAAACTTTGCCTTTCCCTATTTATAAAGTCATGTCAGTGCTGTGCTAACAAAATGCTTGACTTCTACATCTTGTATCCTGGCTTTGCAGACTAAAAACACACCCCATTTTGTACATCATCATCTCAGCCTCCTGCAGTTGGAATTTTTAAAAATTAATTCACAGGAGGGCAGTAACACCAGCTAGGCAGCATTCATTGCTCATCCCTAATGCTGTGTGTAGAATCATGTGTAAACTAGACCAGGCAAGGATGGTAGTATGAGACAACAAGGTGCAAGGCTGGATGAACACAGCAGGCCAAGCAGCATCATAGGAGCAGAGAGGCTGACGTTTCGGGCCTAGACCCT